ATCCTATGCACAATTCTGACAGCCTCTGGTTAACACGTTTAATGATACAAGTCTAAACGGGTTTCTCCGAGCATAGACATCACGGTACGGTCATTTCTTCAGTAAATCCTGAATCTCTAATTGGTCGCTGGTGATTCGCGTGCGAGTACCAATCAAAGATTAGATCCTCCTGATTATTGCAACGTCGCGAGGCGAGTATGACAAAGCGAAGTTGCCGTTGACGAGGTACTTTCTCGTCCGTCCTCTTCCCTCTCGTCACGAGGCAGCGTCTACTCCAGGAGGTTCGCGATCGAGAAAATAATTTGCCGACACCTTTCAGTGTCCTGTCTCGACCTCTCGATTCCATTCGACGATCCCCGCGATAGAAATTAGTACGGTCTTTGGAGAAGAAAAGAAAAAGAGAATGCTCTTTTCTGTCCGACCACGCAGAGGCAAACGTAGAATTTCCTCAAGGCCTCTCGCACCTTTCACAATCGCCTAATAGAAACCTCGCGCAGAAAAAAAAAAAAAAAATAGGAAAAGACCTCTAATAACGAATATTCAGCTTTAATTTTGAGACCCACGCCCAGGGACCGAGGCTTGGACGTTTTCATCAGGCGCGTCTGAAAGACTCGAGGAATCGTTTTCGCGAATCCCTGTAATCAGAGCTCTTCGGGATCGTGGGATCCTTCGGGGAGGACGAGGGTCCTGCGATCGGCAGGTTCGCCGTTTTGCAACCGGAAGCGAGATTAGGTAGCGGCGGATCATAGTCCCGCGATTTGGACGAATTGGAGCCGGGGCGATTAGAGCGAGAAAGAGGCGGAGAGAAGGTCCACCTTTTCCTTTATATCGCGGCACTATCCGCGGCCGCAGCTTAGACAGATAGGTGGGCAGCCAGGAGAATGAGTCAGGCAACGCTAGGTAGGTTAGATTGGACGTTGTCTCCGCGTAGACAAGCGCATACGGCGCATACACACACACACACACACACTTGTACACGCGTGTTGAGAGAGAGAGAAAGAGACAGAGCGCATGCACGGGAAGGCACACATACCTGGGAGTTAATAGCACATGCGAGGTGGTGGATGGCCAGGCCGCGTGGGTGGACGGAACACGTTACCGTGTGTACTCGCGTGTATGTACGTGAGCCACGGAGAAAAGGCATATGGTCAGCAGGTGAGACCTTTGCTTTGTGTTCCGAGTGTATAAAGTAGCCTACTTCCAGTGACCAATGTTATTCCGTCGTAATTTACTGCGCCTAGGGAGAGACAAAGGGTTGCGTCGCGTCCTCTCCTCGGATCCCCCTTCGAAAAACGTGCCAACTACTCCCTCACCTCTTCGACGAAACAACGTGTTCCCAATCGAACACTGTAGACTCTCGTTCCGCGAAATAAAGAAATCATTCAGGGAAGTTATAAGACCCAGCGACGAGGGTGCGGAGGGTGGACTCGGGGGCGGAGGGTCGTCTTTTAGGAAATGGTCCGGCGGTGTGTCGGTTGATATATTTTTCCATTATTAAGGACATTAAGCCAGCGGCTCGCGAAGCAAGCAACTCTTTCCGTTTTCTTCCCTCTTCTTTTCATTTCTGCTGCCTCCCCGGTCTCGGTTTTTTCCGCTTGGCGACGACGATAAATCAGAAAAAATGATTCAAACCGACGCCGCGGCCCGGCGACGGTACGCAATTTTCCGTCTCCACGCCGGGAGATAAAAATTTGATTAATGAACGTATGCTCCTCGCGACGAGCCCGACGAAAAAACCGTCGAATCTGCCGTGGTTAATTAGCATTCGTGGAAACATTATACATGAGATAGACTGAGATGTAACAAGACAATGCGACAGTCTAAGAAAGAACAGCAGGGTCACTCACGGTATCGGCATGACCATCAGATTCGCTATGTCGTTAGTTATGCGCGGGCTCTAATTTGAAAGGTCAAACCACGATCTATGCAATTTCTTTTTAACTCCAGTCGTTAAGTATTTGACGATGAACGAAATAATTAAATTAATTATTTAATTAGTCCTGAGAAGAAAGTTGTGCATATACGACCTTTCTTGTAGATAATTACAGTACTATTTGAAGCAGTTTTCGAAATTCAGAGAAATTTTTTTTTTATTTTTCCAATACTTTTCCAAGGATTGTCCCTTCAGATTTTGCGAAATTTTTGTTTTATGCAAACAACTGCTGCCTACCTGTTGCAGCTAGTGATAAATATTTCAAAGAAAAGTTTTAAGTATCGTCAAAAACTACAATTCTTGTATCATACATTTTCTACTATCGTTAATAGTTAATGAGTATTTCACAAAAAACTATTTTTCAGTTTTAATTACTCATTAACTGTCGACGATAGCGAAAAATGTTTCAAACAAAAGTTCTAGTTGCCAGATACAAGAAAGGTCCTATGCAATTTCCTTCTAACTCCAATCGTTAAAAAATAATTGACGATGAACGAATTAATTAATCGATTAGTATTAGGACACATTTTGACAGAGTGAACTCTCTATGCGTAAGATTCTATCTATTTCGACTTTCATCAAGAGATCATCCAATTATACTTTACATAATTGATTTTATGTAACATTTAATTAAACCAGGTTAAAGTCTTTTAGAATAAATGTGCGATGAAGAATGTATTATGCAAGCTTTTTCCAATCGGAAGCGGGTTGAAGCTTTCTCAAAAAACGTCGACGGTCCACTTGAGACGGTCGTTAAAAATTCACAACTCGACTTCGCTTTCTCACCCTCTTGACGGCCCTTGGCCACGGTTGATCATCAGAAAAACATTCCCCACATTCAGGTTCTTCTTGGACGATTGCCTCGAAAACTGACAATTGATTAATTGGAAAGTAACCATCGAGAATTGTCACGGTTACTCGATACACGAGAAATTTTCGTTGAGGGACACGACTCGAATTGATTTGTCTCCAGGCGATAGAAGAGCGTCCGGGTGGAGAAAAAACGAGGAATAAAATCGCATCGAGTCGCAGCCTCTCCCTCTCTCACGGGGATTAAGAATCAGGGATGGCCAGTGTCGAAGGTCGGCCGTCAAATATCCGACGACGCGGCGCGGCGCGACGCGTCTTTCCAGAGAAAGAAAGGGTTGAAAGTCGTAGAAACTTGAGAACCCTCGCCCCAGTGACAATTTCAATTCTCTCCCCGGCTTTTTCTTCATCTCTTTCCGGCGAGCCACCAGCTCTTCCCCCCCCCCCCCGGCCCACTCGCTCGTGTTCCCATCCTGGTCCTAAGATTCTTAAAACTTCTCGCGAGATTTTTCGATTTTAATTACAGTTTTAACATATTTTAATAAAATCCTTCGGAGTTCGCCTCGCACCCTTCCGCAGCGATGAACAGTGGCCCCCTTCTTCCGTTTCTCTTCGATCCCTTCGAACTTCTCGAGAATAGCCAACTTTTGCCGCGAACTGTACGCCTGGCTTTCGACGTTAACCCTTTCGTTGGTTCGTTTACCTACACCCACACCGGCCGATGGAGGAGCAACACCTGTTCCCCGTACGAAAACCCGAAATCGAGCAAGCGTTCATCGTCGATCCAGGCCCTTACTTCGTCGAACACCAGTCCCACGTGCCTCCTGATCACGTCGACAAGGAACGCGGTGAACCCTGCACGGTCGCGCAATTTGCGCTTCGTAAGCTTCGCAACGATCGTCGTAGGTGCAAGTGCGACCGCGAACGCTTGAATCGAAAAGCATCGATCGGACGCGAGCACTTTCGAAAACTACGGCGACGGACATTGACCCGTTCCGTTCCGTGGCCAGCTGTTACTATCGGTTCCTATTAAATTCGTCGAGCTGGAGAACGTTGCGTCGAACACTTCTACGCAATGTAAAAGTTAAGTCGTTTATAAACCGCAGATTTTTATCCAAAAACATTTTTAATCTTTAAATGTATAATATAATCATTAATTATATGTATAACAATATATATAAGGGAAATATATAAGACTTATTTATTTGAGATTTATTATTTTTTATTAGAGATTAATTATGAGATTTTTATTAGGAAGAGTACGTAGAAAATTTTTCCTAAAGAAATATGAAGAACTAAAAATGTAGCAAATTATGAAAAATTGCATGGGAGAATATTATTTATATAAATATTGTATGAATTAGACATAAATATAAATGACGAACCTGATTTTCATATGATAGCATGAATTGAATACCAGACTTTTCCTTGCCATATAATTATATGCCTACGGTGGTAAATAAAAATCACGTGGATCATTGAGCTGTCTACGAACACATAGGCGAGCCTGACACGTTCACCCAAGTTTATAACAGAGCTAAACTGTATCTTCAGATCATAAGTAGTTCGTGGAGTTTCAGCAACTTGTACGACACGGTTTGTAAGTACGAAATCTGTGCTAAATATTCTGTTTGACGATTCTATTCGGTGAAAGGAAACATCGATTGCAAAGAATTGAAAAAGGAAGCGTGATAAAAACGGAATGGCTTCGTAGTTTGAACAATTCTTATTGCACGCCTTATCTAAAAACTTGTCCTCTTTAAGATTAAACGTACAGACTGAGTCAACAGGAACTAATGTTTTAAGTTTTAAGTAACTCGCTATTTATAGATTCGTTTGATACACGTTCCGCGTTCGTTTTGCATTCGAAATACGTTTACCTCGACACTTTCTATTATACTAAAATTAATAAGAGAAATTTGAACGAAGTCTATAAATCATTCAATAGTTAACATGTATTGAATAGAACACATAAAGTTTAATACTACTTCATCACGGCGATAGTTTCAAATATAGAAATACTTCATTAAGAAACAAGACTTTCTTAAGAAAAAATTATCAGACAGATTGGTAAAGATGAATATGAAAACGAAGGAACTCGGCGTGAACAATGTCAGGCTCGGCTAGCGAAGCGAAATTCCAGGAGGGTCGTTTGGCGATCGGGCGGGAGCCCGTGTGGCGGTCGCGGGACTCCCGTCGACATTCGGCCAACCCCTCCGTGTTGCGAACAAAAGTGCAGCTAACCGACTAACTATGGCAGTTCTTCTCGCAGATCTTCATGCACAAGAGCGCGATGCAGATGCACGCAAGGGAGCTCGGCGCGGCGGGCGCGCTGACGGGCAGAGCCGGGGGCGGCGTGGCCGGCGGTCTCGCGGGCCTGGGTCCAATCGGTGTCGGGCCCGGCGGCATGATCGCCGGCAACGAGGTAAAGCCGCACCAGTGCCAGCAATGCCTCAAGTCATTCTCCAGCAACCACCAGCTCGTGCAGCACATCAGGGTCCACACCGGCGAGAAACCGTACAAATGCAGCTACTGCGACCGCAGGTTCAAGCAGCTCAGCCATGTACAGCAGCATACCCGCCTGCATACGGGTGAGTACCGTTTCTATCTCTCCGTCTCTATCCGTCCGTCCGCCTGTCTGTCTATCTGTCCAACCAGTCCTGAACGTCTCGCCTTATCGAAATCACCGATAATGAATTCCGCGATCCAAGAGGTAAAGTATAGGTGCGAACGGCTTATGAAAATGCGAAAAATGCGTGGAACAAATAGGCTGCCACTTTGTAGACTTTGTAGGATAATTATGCAGATACCAGTCGTTATTGACGCGTATTAAGCACCTAACGTTCACTCATTTGAATCTGTCACGATCCATAACTTTGATGCGGACGAATGTCACGAGGAACATTTTTGTCATCGTAAAAACTGAACGATCAGCTCGGGCGAGCCGAGTTGAAACCGAACGAGCTTAATGCATGCATTCAGTATTCCCGGGGCTGATAGTAAATTCTATGAATACCGCATTGCATCGCGGCCAGTCGATAATCAATAAATTAATATACTATTATAATCTGCACAAGCGATCGTGCGTTCCGATTGTGGCTAATTTTAATGCGCGCCGCTGCGAGAATTGCTCAATGCAATGCGCGCCTGCTAGCCACCTAGTCCCGCGTGCACCGGAGAAACTGCGCTGGTTGCCGCAACGACCAAGACACCGTTGACCGAGCACGTTGTCGCTCGGTTACTACTTAATATGCGTACACACGGTATACACCCCCGTTCATAAATCTTGAGGCACGTTGCAAAACGCATTGCTGAATGAGCCATTGGAAAAATAAATTTCGACTCCTCGTATTTTGAACAAAATCTCTCGCGTCAGAATTTTTCGCAAAATCGTCAACAATCGTTCAGATTGTGACAAACGATTTTTCGTTCCGATTTATCAAGATTATATCTCTGAAACTATGTCAAATATTTTTATCGGTATGAGTGTAGAAAAGAACTAAATTGGATTAAATGCTCAAGTTACAATCGTACCTGTGTATCACGTTTCCTTCACTCGATAAATTATTTTGATGAAGTTAATGATTCACCACATGACCATGGCTGCATAATCCGTTATATGAATTATTATATGATTATGATTAAATGATGAATTATAATTGCATAATTACATAATTATGATTAGATGTATTACATTTAATAATTGATTATGTGCCATGAATAAAATAGTATGATTGTTGTTAGTCAAGTTCTTTTGGTAGATGAAGAATCTAACCGTGTGGTAAGACTTAGGGACGGGTGTACGTATGTATTGTAGCCGAGTTGAATTCGCGCGGGATCGAAGGATCGAATTTATCGAGCACCTACTAAGAATAGCAGTGACGGAACGAAACGGCGAAGACGGTGGAACAGACGAGGGACCCGGTAATAATGAGAAAATTCGACGGCACGGCAAAGCCAGCCAATGGGTCGCGCCCGGGTAGAAAGAATTTCATTAAGGGATGAGCGTAGTCAATCGGAAGGTATTAGCCTCGGAGAACGGTCAGCGTATGACTGGACCGGACGGACCCCCCTCGGGGAAGGTCTCTCTCGTACGCCTGCACCTCGTTCAAGATTTGAATGAGGAGAAAAAAAATAGAGAAAAAGCAAGAAGAAGAAAACCTCGTCGGTATGCGAGCTATTTAATCGAAACCGTTCACGAACGGAGCAAGTCTCCGGATGGTTGCTCGCGAGAGGATAACAGCCCGATTCTTTAACAAAACATTCCTTTGAAACGATTGCTGCTTGGAAAAACCAATTTCCGCGAGCGTCGAGATTGGGAAAAAAAAGATTAGAGGCGTTTACCCGTTTAACCGCGTCTAACGAGGAAAAAAGGGCAGACATTGATTTCGGACGCTCTCGTTACGACCCTCCCGTCCTTTTCGACTACCAACGAGCGAGTAACAACTGCTCGCAGCAACCCCTTACATTAATAATCACCCTTCCCGTTTGCCCAACTCTACGTTAGTACGTTGCTTGTGGCTGCTACTTCAGACCTAAACGTTCCTCTACGTACGTGCAATGCACTCTTTCCGCGTATCCTTCGCTCTTCGTCGATGAACCGTTTTAATTGACTTGAATAAAAAAAAAAGAGATCGAATTCTCAGCTCTTTGCCAGTGACAGTCTCAGCTCTTTGCCAGTGACAGATTTCTCGTCGAAAAGGAGAGATCGGCCCGAAGATCCTTTCGGTTCAGTGGTCTTTAGTTGTTTTCGCAAACTCGATGCACATACAGCATTCGTGTAGCATATTGATTTCTCGTTTCGGTACGAGATCTCGATGCCGCGAGGCGATTGGCCGGTCAAAGTCAAAAAACCGGCGGGAATTTACTGCCGCACCGTCGGATTTCACGTGGCGGGGATTTCGCGTCTCTCGCTCGCATTGGGCTACGCCGTGCGCATTAACAATTTCCCCCCGAATATATATTCGCGACGGCTATAAAATTTGCAACGTATATGCATATAATTCATTAACCGAAATTCGACAGAATTCGAGGTGCCGGGCAAAACGAGAAACACGGTCGGGGGGCGACGGTAGTGGGAGAACGGGGCGCGTGGGCAGGGGATGAACGATAGGGGAAGAGGAGAGAAAATGTTGGCAATGCCAGCAGAAACGAAGGATAGCGAATATAATATCGGCGAGTGTTCACGATATCGATAGCTGGTCAATAGCTGGAGCCTAGACAAATACCTGGCGAGGGTGTATAGAGTCCATCGGGGTGGCGGTCCCCACCCCTCGGCTCGTTGCGCTCACGAGGGTGACTCGGCTCGAGCGGCCAATCGGAGCGCGTCGGACCCCACTAGCCGCGTAGCGCGCGAAAAAGCGCGGGAATTTTTCGATCGCCCGATCGCTCAATAATGGAACCGAAGTTACGCGCAGCCACCGTCGCACGCGCACTACCACCGCCGGTCCTACCACCCTTCGACACCGCACGCTGGCCGCCGCGTGTGATACACGCACGTACACACGTACGGGCGGATGTACATCGGCGATAGCCTAATAAATAGCCGTACGCATTTGCAAGCGCGTTGCCGGATGGAGGACAGAGTTCGTATGCACCGGGCCAGAGGCTACCAAAGATTATCCCCTCGGCAACGAGGAAAACTCAATTTTCATGGCCCGAAATCTAATGATCGGTCGCCCCCACACCCGCGGAATTAATCGGTTTTCCCGAACGGTGCGAGCGGTCGCGTTTAGCTCACGGGTCACCGTCGACCGGTTTCCGGTTTGGCGACGCGAGGGTCACTCCTTTTTTCTTCGGCCAAACTCGATCACCACGCTCGCGGAGCTATAAAACGAAGAGGGGTGTAAAAAGGGTTGGTCGAGGTACGAGCCGGCCGGGCATTAAAATTCGATAGAGCAATAACGGTGTCCTCGTTAAGAGAGGAATGTTATGGGGGAAGGCGATACAAATGGTCGGACCCCTTTCGTCGCCGTTTGAAAAAAGGAGCACGTACTCTCGACGAAATTGACCGGACAATTTTAAAGCCCAGTTAAGACCGCGAAAAATTGCCGTATCGTCGGTGCATGAATAAAAATTAACTCCGCCGTGAGGCTCCGGCAGGGCGAGGTGGCGTCTTCGGCCATCGGCACGCTTCCGGAACGAGTCCGCGTATCCGTATTTACGAGCTGACGGTGAAGAAGCTTGGGGCGAGGGAACAGAAAAAATGGCAGGAAAATTCAGAGTCACGATTCTTATTTTTTTTCTCCTCGTCATTTCTGGCTCTCTTTGGCAACGGCTCTATGACCTCCTACCCAGCTCCCTGCCGTCCCGCGACCTTTCTCCCTTCCTTCTCCCACTTTTAATTCGCTAATTTCACCCAGTTAAGAATTTATGCGACGGAACGTCTCGCCAGACGTCTTGAGAAAAATCAAAGCGGAAAGAACGGCGCCAACCCTTTATCACAAATGATGCGGAATGAAAGATTAAACGGTAGCGACTACGCTTTACCTTTTCCCGTCTGGAAAAACGTCGCCGGTGTGGGCAAAACAAAAATAAGAAACGTGGAATCGTTTGAAGAACAATTTCTCCCGGTTTGCCTCTGTGGAAAAATAATTTTCACGTTTCAGCGACGATTTTCACGGGCTGAAAGCGTCCACGTGTCAATTTTTAATTTAGGTATCAGATTGTTTCTGGTCTACAGAAATATGGAGCGCGTTAAATGACCATGTTACACGTGATTAAATGGAGGCAGATGAATTTTAAATTGAATTTACTCGAAATCTGATGTTCGCGATGTAACACCTTCGGCGCTTCGATTATTACAGGCCTGTCTGACAATTATTACAACCGGTTGGTTATTTTGCATATTCGGGAAGGTCGGGTGTCCGCGGATATGAGCGCGATACGTACCTTTCGGCAGCTTACGTAATTAATTTGCGTAATACGAGCTAATCAACTCGGCCGTGTCGGTACCATAAATATTTTAACGGCCGATATTAATCCTAATATTAGTTTGCCGCCCCGCAAAATTACTCGTATAACGTGGGCGCCGCAAAGGTCCCGAATCGAAAAGGTCGAGAGCCGTTGCCGATTCACTCTCGATCGCGCCTCGCCACTATACGATGCTAACGATACCTTCGGCGAGAGCTAGATTGCAGCCCTTAACACACTGTGTTTAACCGGATCGATCCGCAACGATTAGCTAAACTCGGAATTAGAAAAACGGGAACGCGCACGTGTTAAACTTGCAACTATCTTTCTACGTATGTACGTTCGTTTTGGTACACCCTTATTCATAAGTCTTTATCGAATCCAAGGAGGCATCGTAAAGATCTGGCTCAGTTTTTAATACTAGAATTTATTGCTATGTTCGACATTTTACCAATAATTTTTATCAAAGAAACAGGGATAACTAGTCTTAAGTAAATAAATAAATTATAAATCATTTCTATGACTAATCTCCAAGAATTCTAAACATTATATTAATCTCACTCACTCAATGTGACGATTTTATTTAAGTCGATGTAATCAGAATATGAGATAAGGAAAGTTGAAAAATCTATTTCATTGATCACTTGCTATCATATTTTTATCTTTATGATAATAAGAA